GTAGATGGTTAAAATTCGCACGCAGATGTTTAAGACTGCTGGATGTTTTGTTGTTAATTAAATGCCGAAAAATAGCGTTGCTTATAATATTTGATTATCAACCCTTAACTCCAGATCATCCCTGCAACCACCCCAGAATAGGACGATTTCGGAAACATCTCGTAGGTGGAAAATAGACGCGGGATATTTAGTTGCTCATTAGTTGCTAATTAGTTACACTATTCCCGATTTAGTTGCTCAACACCTGTAAAAGATACATGCGATCTGCTAGATTAAGTCTTAACCTAGCAGACCACAATACTGTATCTTCGGTTCTCGTAAAGATATCGAAGTTCTGCAATCGGCATATTTAGTTGCTAATTAGTTGCTAATTAGTTACACTATTCCCGATTTAGTTGCTCAACACCTGTAAAAGATACATGCGATCTGCTAGATTAAGTCTTAACCTAGCAGACCACAATACTGTATCTTCGGTTCTCGTAAAGATATCGAAGTTCTGCAAACGGCATATTTAGTTGCTAATTAGTTACACTATTCCCGATTTAGTTGCTCAACACCTGTAAAAGATACATGCGATCTGCTAGATTAAGTCTTAACCTAGCAGACCACAATACTGTATCTTCGGTTCTCGTAAAGATATCGAAGTTCTGCAAACGGCATATTTAGTTGCTAATTAGTTGCTGTAGGACAGCATTATTTGTATTATCCCCCCATCATCCCTTAATTGCCGCACCAGCACCCACACTACCCCCGAAATACGATAAAATTAAAAAGAGCTCATCAGAGAATATAAACTACGGCGTATTTCGTTGCTAATTAGTTGCTGCAAAATAGCGTTGTTTAAAAAATTTAATTATCAACCCTTAACTCCAGATCATCCCTGCAACCACCTCGGAATAGGACGATACCGGAAAATTCTCGTAGGTGGAAAATAGACGCGGGATATTTAGTTACTAATTAGTTGCTCGTCAAAAACGCAGATAAGAGTATTCTACAATCATCCCCTAACCTCAGATACTACCCCTCTACTCACTAAAAAATAGTAGATGGTTCGAATTCACACGCAGATGTTTAAAACTGCTGGATATTTTGTTGCTAATTAGTTGCTCGCCAAAAACGCAGATAAGAGTATCCTACAATCATCCCCTAACCTCAGATACTACCCCTCTACTCACTAAAAAATAGTAGATGGTTCGAATTCACACGCAGATGTTTAATACTGCTGGATATTTTGTTGCTAATTAGTTGCTGCAAAATAGCGTTGCTTATAGTATTTAATTATCAACCCTTAACTTCAGATCATCCCTGCAACCACCCCAGAATAGGACGATATCGGAAAATTCTCGTAGGTGGAAAATAGACGCGGCATATTTAGTTGCTAATTAGTTGCTCGCCAAAAACGCAGTTAAGAGTATTCTACAATCATCCCCTAACCTCAGATCCATCCCCTCTACTCACTTAAAAATAGTAGACGGTTCGAATTTGCACGCAGATGTTTAAAACTGCTGGATATTCTGTTGCTAATTAGTTGCTCGCCAAAAACGCAGATAAGAGTATCCTACAATCATCCCCTAACCTCAGATACTACCCCTCTACTCACTAAAAAATAGTAGATGTTTCGAATTCACACGCAGATGTTTAAAACTGCTGGATATTCTGTTGCTAATTAGTTTCTCGCCAAAAACGCAGATAAGAGTATCCTACAATCATCTCCTAACCTCAGATCCATCCCCTCTACTCACTTAAAAATAGTAGACAGTTCGAATTTGCACGCAGATGTTTAAAACTGCTGGATATTTTGTTACTAATTAGTTGCTCGCCAAAAACGCAATTAAGAGTATTCTACAAACATCCCCTAACCTCAGATGCAACCCCTCTACTCACTTAGAAACAGTAGATGGTTAAAATTCGCTCGCAGATGTTTAAGACTGCTGGATGTTTTGTTGTTAATTAAATGCCGAAAAATAGCGTTGCTTATAATATTTGATTATCAACCCTTAACTCCAGATCATCCCTGCAACCACCCCAGAATAGGACGATTTCGGAAACATCTCGTAGGTGGAAAATAGACGCGGGATATTTAGTTGCTCATTAGTTGCTAATTAGTTACACTATTCCCGATTTAGTTGTTCAACACCTGTAAAAGATACATGCGATCTGCTAGATTAAGTCTTAACCTAGCAGACCACAATACTGTATCTTCGGTTCTCGTAAAGATATCGAAGTTCTGCAAACGGCATATTTAGTTGCTAATTAGTTGCTGTAGGACAGCATTATTTGTATTATCCCCCCATCATCCCTTAATTGCCGCACCAGCACCCACACTACCCCCGAAATACGATAAAATTAAAAAGAGCTCATCAGAGAATATAAACTACGGCGTATTTCGTTGCTAATTAGTTGCTGCAAAATAGCGTTGTTTAAAAAATTTAATTATCAACCCTTAACTCCAGATCATCCCTGCAACCACCTCGGAATAGGACGATACCGGAAAATTCTCGTAGGTGGAAAATAGACGCGGGATATTTAGTTACTAATTAGTTGCTCGTCAAAAACGCAGATAAGAGTATTCTACAATCATCCCCTAACCTCAGATACTACCCCTCTACTCACTAAAAAATAGTAGATGGTTCGAATTCACACGCAGATGTTTAAAACTGCTGGATATTTAGTTGCTAATTAGTTGCTGTAGGACAGCATTATTTGTATTATCCCCCCATCATCCGTTAATTGCCGCACCAGCACCCACACTACCCCCGAAATACGATAAAATTAAAAAGAGCTCATCAGAGAATATAAACTACGGCGTATTTCGTTGCTAATTAGTTGCTGCAAAATAGCGTTGTTTAAAAAATTTAATTATCAACCCTTAACTCCAGATCATCCCTGCAACCACCTCGGAATAGGACGATACCGGAAAATTCTCGTAGGTGGAAAATAGACGCGGCATATTTAGTTGCTAATTAGTTGCTCGCCAAAAACGCAGTTAAGAGTATTCTACAATCATCCCCTAACCTCAGATCCATCCCCTCTACTCACTTAAAAATAGTAGACAGTTCGAATTTGCACGCAGATGTTTAAAACTGCTGGATATTTTGTTACTAATTAGTTGCAGAAAAATAGCGTTGCTTATAATATTTGATTATCAACCCTTAACTCATCATCATCTTAGCTGCCACCCTTATGGGTACAAAAAATGCGGGATATTTTTCTACAGTCGTCTCTTCACCTCAGATCGACCATCATTTTCTCTTTACAATAAAAAAACGGCCAGAATACGCTCGTAGATGTATATTACTGCAGAATATCGTATTGCTAATTAGTTGCTCGCTAAGTTTACATTTAAAAATGTTCTACAATAATCTCTTCACCTCAGGATGCCTACTCTATTTTAAATTTTTTTTTTTTTGTTATAATTTAAGTCCTTTTCTTCTTTTGGGTACTAAATAATTATTCATTTAAAACACGCATACAGAGTAAGTAAAAAACAACTAATAAGCACTACTAAAAAAAACGTAAAAACAGGAGACGGGCGGCCGGGAGCAATGACCGCTCCCGCCGTTGAATACCTTCCTGCCTACCTATCTAGGTATGCGCGGTGCACAGCGCAGTGAGCGAGCGGAGTCTCAAGCGCGCGTGCGAATTTTTTAAATTTGTGACAAGACAAGATTTGCAAATAATGCCTTGATTAGTTCTTGTTCTGTGGCCTCGATATACGAATTTGGATATGGTGTGTTGTTATTGCGAGTGTCACGGAATACTCAGCAGAGCCACAAGGCTTTACGAAAGTAGGTTTGGTGATTGATTGGGAAGTTATAGTGAAAAAAATTAATAGGTACATTGGTCTCGTAAGTACTTTTGAATACCTGGTTATAAATTTCATTCTGACCCAAGTATTGAACTGCAATAAGTATTTCTTTTTGTTTAACATTTGCCTATTTCCAATCGTGACAAAATTATTATTAACTTTTTAAGTTTTTCTCTGCTTAAGAGAAGATGACATTTGTGCTTATAAGGCATCTAAGACGATTTTATTGTATTGTGTGGAATCAAAGGAGTCAGCTGAGCTCTGGTTACCTACTCACTCAACGGCTGGCGGGCGCGGTCGGTCGTTGACCCGCGGTGGCCGTGCCTGCTTTATTTTACTGTTTTTATGTTTTTTAGAAATGCTTATTTATTAGTTGTTTTTCACTGGATATGTAAGTATGGTTGTTTAAAATGAATAACTACTCAAAAGGAGGAAAAGACATAAAAATACACAAATTATAAATAAATACATGAAAAAAAATACTTCAAAAAAATCCGAAAAAAACAGGCATACTCTATACACGTAACCCAACCATCTCACGAAGTTTCATTTAAACATTCAATTTCACCCTATATATATTTTTTATGTGTAAGCCATTATTTCTAAAATAGTGTATTTAAATAAAATTTTATATGATATCCATTTCCAAAATGCACATATTGTATTAACAAATTATTTTTTTATGAAAACAAGTACTTCTATCGCTTTTGATATTTAAAAACGATAAACTTTGCCTTTTATACTATGTCATTTCGACAAATATTGAAAAAGTTACAAACGATTACAAAGTGATAGCGCGGTGTACTATGCAGGAGTCCAGGAGTAGACTGCGGGAATAATGGAGGGAAAAGAAATTTTGATGAATTTTGTTGCTTATAAACGTAGATAAAACCTAGGAGCGGAGATCGATGGCGCGGATGGTTAGCGCGTTCGGCTGCGATCGTTGAAGATAAGCAACTTTCGCAGTGTTCGGTCATTGGATGGGTGACCAAAAATCTTCTATCCTGAGTTAAGCCATTGGGCCCGGCTACATCTGCGGTCGTTAGCACCCGCCAATCCACACTGGGCCCGCGTGGTGGGTCATGGCCCAATCTCCCTATTCTATCCATAGGGAAGGCCTGTGCGCCAGCAGTGGGTGACGTTAATAGGCTGTTGATGATGATAATGAAAACCTAGGTGTTTATAAACGTAGAAAAGAAAAAAATGGGCTACTCGCAGTATCTAAACCTAAACGAAGTACTTAAAATAAAACTTTATTATAAGTACTTCGTTTATCGTCCCATTATTGAAAAAATTATCCAATCTTGAATATCTAACGGGTCCCGACCGTTAAAGTAGCTTTGTTCCTTACTTAACAGAATTATAGACTACTGGAGTTGTTTTCTTTTCAGTTTTTATTTAAAGTGACAGGTAAGTCCAAGCAGTCGGGTCTTTTGATTTTTAAATTTACCATTTTTATAAGAGAAAACAGATGAGAAAGAAATAAAATGTAGTATGTATGATTTGAGTTTTATTTTATTATTTAACGCATTTAACATACATTAATACTCTTGGCAAAGCTTTGTATTTCAAAGATTTGTTTGAGCTTTGACGTTGTAGGTCGTCAAATTCCATCCATCCCGTATTTCCTCTTCTGTACGTGAAAGCTGTATAGTGTCCAGTTTGACTTTCATTTTCCCATGAGTGTCTTCGGGTTTGAAAGCCTTCTGGACCAATGTAATTTACGATGCCAACTAATAAATATTGATTAGAGGCATCTAGTGGATCTTTCAATATTTTTGGTATTTGATCCAATCTTATAGTTATGTTCTTTTCCTCACAATTAAATACTTGAAGTATGATGACATCGCCTAAGCAGTGAACCATAATTTTATGATTATATTAAATTAAAAAAAATCGTATAACGGTAAAGCTAACACTTAAAGAGAAGTCGTAGCTAAAAACACAGTTTTCAATAGGGTAATTTCCAAATTTTTAAAAACTGCTCTCTAATGTGTGACGTCAACTTTGTGTAAAGAATTTTAACACCTATGTAGTCTGTGGACGATCTGTGATTACGGAGTAATTATTTGACGATGTCTTTTCTTTTCATAAATTTAGTGTAAGTATTATACTATAAATTTATCCCAAACGTAAAAAAAGTTAATAATTTGACATTCAGATGATTACATAGCATACACAAAGTTGACGTCATCGAACCGAGCGTTTTGGCGGTAAATTCAAATCCATTAAAAATGAATTCAACTTTAATTGGTTTAATGGAGAAAAAGACATTAATTAATTAATTTTTATTTTGGCTGTTGAATCGTTTGTCCCAATCATTAAATATAAGCATTTTTCAAAAGTTTGGAAAATACCCTATTAGATATAACTTAAAGAAAATATAACTAGAAAAAATTCCAAAGTCAAGTTTTATTTAAAACTACAAGCATTATTTAAAGTCATATCAATAATTTTTATTTTTTAAGCAGTAACTGCTCGATGTTTAAATCTAAAGAAAGTATAACTAGAAAAAAATCTACGCGGAGCAGGCAGCAGACGGGACTCGAACCCGCACCCTTCGCTATCTGGTCGAATGCATTGACCAATTATGCTACCGCGGCCCTGATGGCCATGTCGAAATCTTACTAGCCTTTCTTAAGCTGCAAGGCAGCGCCGTCTCTTCGCATTGTAGGGAACCCACAATGACAAATGAATACCTTTACAAGTATTAAACATTTGAAAGAAGAAACAGCAATTATAGTTATAATTTTTATTTTTTAAGCATGTAACTGCTCGATGTTTTAATCTAAAGAAAACCTTGCAGCTTAAGAAAGGCTAGAAAGATTTCGACACGGCCATCAGGGCCGCGGTAGCATAATTGGTCAATGCATTCGACCAGATAGCGAAGGGTGCGGGTTCGAGTCCCGTCTGCTGCCTGGTCCGCGTAGAATTTTTTCTAGTTAAACTTTCTTTAGATTTAAACATCGAGCAGTTACTGCTGAAAAAATAAAAATTATTGATATGACTTTAAATAATGCTTGTAGTTTTAAATAAAACTTGTATGAATACCGCTTGTACACAAAAATCATCTGAGTTTGGAAAAGCGCATTCGCCCTTTGATCACCGTACTACTTATAAAAAATGTACGAAGTTGAAACTGAAAAAATCTTACCCGTTTCAACAAGTCTATGCTCAACGCTGTCGTGTCTCTCACATTTATAACATATGGATTTGGATTTTGCAAACATTTCATTAAGATTATAATCTTCACAAAATGTTCTATCCAAAATCATAACATCTTGAATTTGCAGGCCTGTTAAATTTTTGTCTACTACATGCTTGCAGTAGATGCATGTAGACTGTTCCTTGAAACTTGGACATATTTTAAATAACTGTTGAGCAAGCCAGCCAGGATGGGTATACGCATCAATTGTGTACATACTGTCTGTGAGTTTTGATTGTTTTAATGAAAATATATCTGACAAAACTTGTACCCTCAATGTATATGTGTGTGTTCTAAGACCTTTTTCTATAGTATCCAACACCATATTAAAAAAATGGCTATCATATTCCACCATCTGAAAATATTAATGCATTGTTAATCTAAATTCAATTAATAGCGTATTATGCAGTAAGAGCGTAAAATATAGTTTTTGTAACACTTGAGCGATTCGTACGTCTTTTAGCATTTTGTAATTATCTTTAAAAAAGCAGAAAAAAATATGTATGATAGTGCGATAATGTGATTTTAGCGTTGTGTTCATACATGCAATATTACGTGTAAACGCAACTTTATCAAACCTACAATTGACTGGTTATTCAATGAACGTTTTCCAAGTGGCAATTTTCCATCGTCAATGGGTAGCGGTTCTGGCGACAGATTGGTGCAATGGTGTCATGTAGCACCTGGTTTTGTACCCTTGTGTATCCTTCAATTGCCAAGTCACACAACATTAACTATAATAATAAAGAAATCGCAGTAAGGAACCTTAGACTTGGCACGACTTTGTCTAGATTTCATTACTTTTTAAAGATAAACAAGCAGCTCCATCGAGACAGGGCTAGTTTTTTACAGAATGTTTTTGGTGGGATTACATTTGAACGATTTCATGCATAAAATAAACCAAGAAAATAGTAATACGTTTATGACATGTACAAATTTTACTCGTGATTTTGAAAATAAGTTTATAAATAAAACAAGCTTACCTTTAACTTTAAATGCGGAAAATCAGTTGCAGCTGCAAAAACTAAATATAAAATGCTATCAAAAGCGCATGTATTTCTTAAAGTAACTGTTTTTCCTTTTAACTGAACAGGAGCAAGTGAAGTGTCATTACCATTTTTTATTACAGGTATAGATCGATTTTTATCCCAAGCTAATGAATCCTTTATGTCAGCTGTTCTATCTCCTAAATATTTTGCCGCTGGACGGTATTTATTTCTCATCACATTTCGGCTATTCTTTGAAGTACGTGTTGTTTTTGTATTCGAAGTTAATATCTGAGGTTCATTAAAATCGTCGCTCTGGTCATTTGAAGGAGGATTGCAATCACTATTAGTAGACGTATGATCAATATTATGACTATTAATTGAAGTGTCTTCATTGTCAAAATTATTATTACGGTTATCAATATTTGCACAATCAATACATAGCCTTTGTTCACCATAACCTTCATCTTGGTTATTTATTGAAATAGAACATCCATCCAATATGTGTACATTTTTTTTGCATCTGATGCATTTATGTGCACCAGTTGGAAAGTTCCCATCTTTGCAAGCGATGCACTGCTTATTTTGTGTTGTGCTCTTACTGCCAGCGATTTGACGCTGCTTTTTAGAACGAGCTTCTCCTTTGCCCCTCCAGTTTTCTAATTCGTTTAAGGTCGTATTTTTTTTTACATAATTAGTGTTTGCACATTGTGAACAAATATTTTGGGTTCGACTTTTTTCAGAGCAGACATTTTTATGAACAGGATTCATACATATCGTACAAGTACTCGCATCTTCAAACGAAATTAAGTTTTTACATACGTCGCAAACCATGTCGTCATTTTGCAAACTATTTTTTTCATTTGCATCCAAATCAGAGTTGGCGATCAGCATTCTTCCCTCTAAATATTGCAGTGATTCGTCAACGTATTCATCAACTCTGATTGGATGCTTATGTTTTTTCATCCTAAGTTTGACTTTATTGATTTCCCCTTCTACGCAAGCACTTGAAGCCGGATTTCGTCCGAATGTAAATTTTTCATTAAGAATATTACCCCATATAGGAATTAACTGCAAATCTTTTAGTAGTTGCTTTGTTATATCAACATTGTGCAGGTGATAGGCATTTACATCTGAACCCTCTTCTTTAAAAAATGGCGATACCTTATCTAATAATTTTTGACCCCACTTGCCCCAATAATTGAGTTTGCTATGAACCTCTTCAGTTGAATCTTCATAGAAAGGTTTGTTACTTGCATCCAGAGATACTGTGTGCTCATCTTCTTCGTAGCCTTATGAAAAAACATGCATATGTATATATTTATACACAAAATTATGCTAATATACCTATGTACAAATTTGTCATTCAAACGATGTAAAAAAGCAGTTTCATAATTTAGGATGCTAAAAAATAAAATTAAAAAGCTTTTATGATTTAAGACACGTAGTTACAATAAAAATAAAAATTGTAAATATCAAATTTTTTTTTTAGATATGCGGGAGGAGAGGAGGCTATAATTGGTAAGGCTGCACTCAGCGGCCTGTAGCTATACAGATCATACAAAAGATATAAAAAAATTAAACACTAAAAATATTTATTAATCTTTTATTTCTTGTGAGCTAAGATAGCGCAAGATTTTATTATGTTTATTACGTTCTACCGCGAGAATAAAAATTGCATGAGACAATTATTTTACTCTAAGCCACCATAAGAAGAATTAATAATGTATGTGTAATGTATGCATTTCTACCATGAGACTAAAAACTTTTATAAGATAAAGCAAGAAAATGCATACCTGTTACTAAGTGTATTAACCAATTTTTTTGTCGTGAACATTCAGTTTCCATTCCATTGTCTTTTTTGCCTTCAGTTTCACAGTTAGCCATTAAAAAAATCGATGTTATAATATTTTCGGCTTCCCGAAGGTTTTCTGTCCTTATAAGTTTCCCAATAGCAGCCATATACAGGCATTTTACACGTCTGTTCACTTCTTTAAACAACTTTTTATAAATATTTTCAAAGTGAGCTACATCAATTCGAATACGTGTAGTCACTTTTTCGTCTTTCATCTTCTCTGCATATTCTTCAATATTTGTGTACCGGGAATACGTTAATACAGCAGCATTTAAGATAGGTCTGCCTTGATCGCTAACAAGTTCATCTGGCGGAGGTGTCCCAGAATTATGAAAACTATATAAAAAATTCATAATGTCCCTTGTCGTATGTCTTTCCGCTAATCTTTGTGCAACAAGAAATTGGCATCCTTCAGAGTTGATACTGTATTTAAAATTATTTTATTATTGATCATTATGAATATATAACTTTCATGATGTAATGTATAAAAGTTAAATTATTTAACGCTTAACCATAAAATTTAAAATTAAGTTTGATTTTTATTCAATTATAAAAAATATAAAGAATAAATATGCGTATTATAGTTGTACAAAGTGGTAGGATTAAACGGTACACTGTTTTGACACTGGTGGGCAAGTCGGCTTTTTCGTTTGCGTTTTTCGCTGTTCGCTAAGCGAACGGGATAATTTTCGCAGAGCAAAGTCACATTTACTAAAAAATCGAATCATCCACCACTGTCAAAAAATATTTTGTACTTCGAGAGTCTAAATATAGTGTCAAAGTGGCGATTTCTAGGTTAGAGTGGTATAAAGATTAATAAATAATTATTAGATTAATAAAGAAAATAATTACCATATTACGTATAAAAATATAGAACACTCTTTGTTACTATATGGTCTTTTGATGGATTTTAAGTTCAAGCCAGTTGCATCTACGCACATGCTAACACTACTCTTTTTAGCGACCTTTTTATAAGCATTAATTTGTTCATTTGTCCAAAATTCGACACTAAATGGATTTTTTCCAATATCGTGAATGCTATTTGCACGATTCGTATTTTTCATGATATCCAACGATGTGATTGGATCTTCGTGCAGAAAATTGGATTTTTTAAATGCAGATTTCGCTACATGCAATACATTTTGGCTATACAGCATCGGGGGTTTCGAACCACCAATTTTCATGTATTTTTTAGCAACTGAAGCTCTATACTCATCTACAGAACCGCAGGCCTCAATTTCTTGGCAAACTTTTTCTCTTGCTTTTCCTCTCAAATAAACCTTGCCACAATTTTCTCCTGATCCTGGGTGAATAACGAAAGAAGCTAGATAATCTTCATTCGATCTTGATAAGTCGCAATGAGCTTTCGAACCGCAATCACAATGTGCTAAAAAATGAAGTGTATAATAAGAATAAGTGGATTTTTTAAAATAACAAAAAAGCTTTTGATTTTTAAAACAATGTATACGAATTGCATGACTACTGTACGGAACAGTAAAGAGGCGCATCGTAAGTTATATTTTTTCTGTGAAAAAACGTATGAATAATTAAGTGTAATCATTTGTTTTTAAGAATATTGTGTTAATAACAAAATTGAGACGTTTATTGTGTGTGAAAAAATATATCAAATTTACAATTTGCTTTAATCGCATCAGAGGAGTAAGTAAATATAAATTTAGCGGGCATTCTAAGAAAATATGAAATTGTGTTCAAGTAGATGCGAAGATAACAGGCGGTCTTGAGAAGGTGTTTTGCTTTTGTTTATTTCTAAAGTTTTGCTTATTAAAGAACATTTAAAAAATCATTAATATAATTAAAGAACTATTATACATAAGAATAAAGAAAAAAGTAACGTGATAAACAAAAGCTTTAACGTCGTTACGCTAGTATGCTTAATCTATCCCAATGCTTACACGTCTCATGCATAGTAACGAACTTACCGTTAAAATTTCCTGACGTCCCATTTAATGATAAATGATGATTTTTATAGTGAAATTTGCACTTGATTTCAGTGTTGGTCCAAATTTTTTCGTTGAAGAAAGCTTCCCAAAGTCCTTTTACAAATTTTAGATATTTTCTTTTGCTCAGTCTACTTTCTCTTGTGTTTTGAGCATATTCTACTATCTCTGTAATTTCGTCGAATTCCCTATTCGTTATTAAAGCGTCAAACTTGATAAGATGTTGGTTATACACATCATTGCTTTTAGAACTATCTATAGAACTATCAGCTTGGAAATCTAATTCGTTGATAGACTCTCTGCGATCATCTGCTAAATTTGTAGTAGTAGGTACTTTTAATTCTTTTTTTATTTCATCGAGAACGTTCCAACGGTTATCGGTTACTAATGCGTATAAGGATTCTGGCTTATAGTTATTTTTTAACACTTTAGCCAGATCTTGCCATACAGGATCGAATTTCGAGACTACTGTATTATTTGTATATACTTTATCTGCCCAGGAAACGAGAGTTGAGATGAATGATGATTCGTCACATTGTCTTGGCCTTCCTCGAACCATAATGAAAAATTTTTATAAAAAAAAGTTCACTGCAAAAAACGCAGGAGATTAAAAATCAATGCGCTCACAAACTCAGAAATCTTGCAGGCACAAACAAATTACAATACAGTAAAAGCTTATAATTAGCTAATTAGCTTAATAATATAAGCGTATTCGCGCTTCCTTTATTCGCGTTTTCACTATTCGCGGATTAAAATATAGCGACCGAATCCCTATATTCGCGGAAAAAAATTTCTTATTCGCGGATTTAGTCGAAATAAAAAGCATTCTGTAGCCATTCTAGAAATATAAATAGATCTTAGTATAACTAAGCCTAAAGTATGTTGTCCAATGCTATTGCCGGTGCATAAGACGGTTTTCTTTTACCTTTAAAACGCGCCGCCTTCGCCGCGGTCGGTATTTTTAAAAATGTAAATAAACAGAATAATGTTTTTGGAAATCAATCTTAATACTCTATGCCTAAAATATATTTTTATATGCTATCACATGTAACACTAGCCCCGACGCGAAAAAAACAGTGTAACTACTTAAAGTTAAAAGTTCTTTAAATCCTTGTCTAAGACTGACAGTAATTAACAATATTAATATGTAATGAAAAACTACAATTTAAGTGATTAATTAAAAATATTTATTTTATTTGATTTTGCCGTCTTGGAACGTATCCCCTATAATCTCATAAAAATTACCACTTATTTATTCACGGCTTCTGTATTCGCGGCATATTTCTGGTATACCCCGCGAATAAGGAGCTTTTACTGTATCTTTCGTTCAAAAAACTATTTGTTTTTATATCCAAATAGCAACAGCAAAGCTGCGTGATTAGTTATATTGTACGCAAACAGAACGATTGTACACTGCCAAAACACTATAGACGTGCGATTATAATGACGTCATGATTCGCGTAAAAATTGAAAACTATGTTCCGACAGGCATGTGCAAGCTAAAATCTCTGCGGGTCTTAAATTACCTGAACTCACACACGTATGTAGATATCTCTTTTTGTCCAACAAATACCGCTATACACCACTGATTGCGAGTTATTCCGATGCAGAAAACGTTTACTGAAAAACCTGCTGGATTTAGCTTCTTTATTATAATTGACACTACCTAGCGGCGACGAGGCGGCAAGATCAGTGGCGGCCTTAGACCAATGGAGATGCCATACCGTTCACTCGCCGTTCAAAATTTTCCACCAGCGCGGGACGAGGTACACACGTATAGCATACTAACGAAAATAATACTCCCACAAACACGAGCGTGTTGTAGCTATAAACGCACACGTCAAAAATAACGTCACATAAACAACAAAACGCACACACTCTAACAATTTTAATGTAACTATGCAATTGTTCGAGCTTACACCAACACAAAAGTTAGGGATGGGACAATAAAAGAATGAACGATATTTGAATGAACAGTTCGTGATGAATGAACATTAAACTTTTTGATTTCATTATAAACAAATATTTTGTTTATAAAGAAATCAAAAAGTTTCAATTATAAATATCTATCTGAAAGCTTATTTATAGTTTTAGAACTCATTTTTTGCAAATTATATTCCTGTTCAAAAAATCTCTCTAACTGAGTTTGCTGTCTTTTATCGGATACCCTGCCTTCATTTAATTGCTTTTACACCTTTAATAATAGCAAACGCAGTATTTTGTCACAAAACATTGCGTAACTGACCCAAGATTATCCATTCCTTGTTTAATATAATGGGGATAGCGAATTATTAGATTTCAGTGAAATGAGGTTATTGGTTTTCCTGATAATGTTTTCCTCGGTGGTTTAAGAAGTCAATAATTTTATCATTTGTGATTAATTAGAAAAAACTCAGTGATTCAAGCTTTCGGCAAAGTTCAATCCCATGCATTCAACGAGTGCTTCGCTAGTGTGCGCTTAATCCAAAATGATGATGATGTATTAAGCATATTATTTGCAAAGAATTACAAGAATGATGTCCTCTGTCCTACAATATAAGTCATATAGTATTCATTCATTTCACTAATTTTTCGTCACGTCACTATGAATTCCTACCTATTATTTTTGTCATTCATTCGTCATTCTGCGTAAGCGTGATGGCAGTAGTTAGTCCCCACGCGCTGGTTTTTCCCCGACTCCGAATCGTGTGGTTTAAAATACGGTCACCAAATAAACAAGGGAAATAAAAATATTTACCTTCTTTGAACATGTATATTTTATAAGTTAAAAAGTAATCATCAACATCTAGCAGGGAAATGCTTTTTCTTTTTTGGTATATGTTTTAGGTATATTTACGGGTTTTGATGAACTGTTCTTAGCCAATGTGACCAAGAAATTGTTTTAACGTAAGTCATTGATTTCATTTTTTTTTTTCGTTATACAGCTTCAAGAAACACAACCTGGAATTGATAATGGTACACCAAAAAGCTGTGTTAGTGGCATTTTTTTCTAGTAATCAATAATCCGGTAAAGATTTACATTATCTATTTAGTACATTTACTGTTTATTATATTTTTATTTTAAGCATTTAACTGCTAGATGTTGATGATTATGATGATTACTTTTTTACTTATAAAATATTTACATTTTCAATGAAGTTAAATATTTTTATTTCCTTTGTTTATTTGCTGACCGTAATTTAAACCACACGATTCGGAGTCGGGGAATAACCAGCGCGTGGGGACTAACTACTGCCATAACCGCCATCACGCTTAGGCCACAATGCGAGTACATCTCTCTCTATACAGACGTGTGCGTGTGTGAGAGTTGCTTATGTAGTTGAGTCGGATCATATTTTATTTGATGCTAGTGTATGAGCGTACCGTATCTACCCTTTTTGTTTTAAACTAAGGTGACGAACGAATTTTAAACGAAATTGCGCCAGTGACTATTTCTTATTCGAACACGCACATAAAGTTCAGAATCACCAACAATTTTCGTGAACTAATGTTTGTGAGTTCTTTTTTTATCTCCACTATTTAATATTACTTTATGTCAAAATTTTTTATGACTATGAAAGAACTTTCTTTTTTACTAATTTGTAGAATTAATACAATCGATTGTATTAATTCTACAAATTAGTAAAAAAGAAAGTTCTTTCATAGTCATGAATAAGCAGCTTTTCATAGTCATGAAAGAACTTTCTTTTTTACTAATTTGTAGAATTAATACAATCGATTGTATGTCAATCTAAATTTGTCGTTTAATACTTTGAAGTATTGGAAATACAAAAAATAATAAAAATTAAGATTATTTTTTAATTTAACATGCAAAAAATTTTCCTCACGCTAAGCAGCCGTGATTAAAAATACTCTAGCAGTTATTTTAGGCTTAATTAAAACGAAAATGAAAAGGTAACACTTTTCATTTCGTCAATTTGAGGATAAGATTTCGAACGCAGAAAAGAAATCTGTCAAATTCAACTTTTCCTTCGAAAGTTTTTTGAATTAGAATAGGTATGGAGAATTTAATCGTCAAACTATTTTCGAATGTTTGAAATGAAAAAGGAACAGAGTAAAGAACGTGCGAAATTTCGATCAAATTTAATTTTTCGGTGAAATAGAGTAGGCATCCTGAGGTAAAGAGATTATTGTAGAACATTTTTAAATGTAAACTTAGCGAGCAACTAATTAGCAATACGATATTCTGCAGTAATATACATCTACGAACGTATTCTGGCCGTTTTTTTTAGATTGTAGAAAAATATCCCGCATTTTTTATACCCATAAGGGTGGCAGCTGGGATGATTTGGAGTTAAGGGTTGATAATCAAATATTATAAGCAACGCTATTTTTCTGTAACTAATTAGCAACAAAATATCCAGCAGTTTTAAACATCTGCGTGCAAATTCGAACCGTCTACTATTTTTAAGTGAGTAGAGGGGTAGTATCTGAGGTTAGGGGATGATTGTAGAATACTCTTAATTGCGTTTTTGGCGAGCAACTAATTAGCAACAGAACATCCAGCAGTTTTAAACATCTGCGTGTGAATTCGAACCATCTACTTATTTTTTAGTGAGTAGAGGGGTAGTATCTGAGGTTAGGGGATGATTGTAGAATACTCTTATCTGCGTTTTTGACGAGCAACTAATTAGTAACTAAATATCCCTCGTCTATTTTCCACCTACGAGAATTTTCCGGTATCGTCCTATTCCGAGGTGGTTGCAGGGATGATCTGGAGTTAAGGGTTGATCATTAAATACTATAAGCAACGCTATTTTGCAGCAACTAATTAGCAACATAATATCCAGCAGTTTTAAACATCTGCGTGTGAATTCGAACCATCTACTATTTTTTAGTGAGTAGAGGGGTAGTATCTGAGGTTAGGGGATGATTGTAGGATACTCTTATCTGCGTTTTTGGCGAGCAACTAATTAGCAACAGAATATCCAGCAGTTTTAAACATCTGCGTGCAAATTCGAACTGTCTACTATTTTTAAGTGAGTAGAGGGGATGGATCTGAGGTTAGGGGATGATTGTAGAATACTCTTAACTGCGTTTTTGGCGAGCAACTAATTAGCAACTAAATATGCCGCGTCTATTTTCCACCTACGAGAATTTTCCGATATCGTCCTATTCTGGGGTGGTTGCAGGGATGATCTGGAGTTAAGGGTTGATAATTAAATTTTTTAAACAACGCTATTTTGCAGCAACTAATTAGCAACGAAATACGCCGTAGTTTATATTCTCTGATGAGCTCTTTTTAATTTTATCGTATTTCGGGGGTAGTGTGGGTGCTGGTGCGGCAATTAAGGGATGATGGGGGGATAATACAAATAATGCTGTCTTACAGCAACTAATTAGCAACTAAATATGCCGTTTGCAGAACTTCGATATCTTTACGAGAACCGAAGATACAGTATTGTGGTCTGCTAGGTTAAGACTTAATCTAGCAGATCGCATGTATCTTTTACAGGTGTTGAGCAACTAAATCGGGAATAGTGTAACTAATTAGCAACTAATTAGCAACTAAATATGCCGTTTGCAGAACTTCGATATCTTTACGAGAACCGAAGATACAGTATTGTGGTCTGCTAGGTTAAGACTTAATCTAGCAGATCGCATGTATCTTTTACAGGTATTGAGCAACTAAATCGGGAATAGTGTAACTAATTAGCAACTAATTAGCAACTAAATATGCTGTTTGCAGAACTTCGATATCTTTACGAGAACCGAAGATACAGTATTGTGGTCTGCTAGGTTAAGACTTAATCTAGCAGATCGCATGTATCTTTTATAGGTGTTGAGCAACTAAATCGGGAATAGTGTAACTAATTAGCAACTAATGAGCAACTAAATATCCCGCGTCTATTTTCCACCTACGAGAATTTTCCGAAATCGTCCTATTCTGGGGTGGTTGCAGGGATGATCTGGAGTTAAGGGTTGATAATCAAATATTATAAGCAACGCTATTTTTCGGCATTTAATTAACAACAAAACATCCAGCAGTCTTAAACATCTGCGTGCGAATTTTAACCATCTACTGTTTCTAAGTGAGTAGAGGGGTTGCATCTGAGGTTAGGGGATGTTTGTAGAATACTCTTAATTGCGTTTTTGGCGAGCAACTAATTAGCAACAGAACATCCAGCAGTTTTAAACATCTGCGTGCGAATTCGAACCATCTACTGTTACTAAGTGAGTAGAGGGGTTAGATCTAAGGTAAGGGGATGATTGTAGAATACTCTTAACTGCGTTTTTGGCGAGCAACTAATTAGTAACAAAATATCCAGCAGTTTTAAACATCTGCGTGCAAATTCGAACTGTCTACTATTTTTAAGTGAGTAGAGGGGATGGATCTGAGGTAAGGGGATGATTGTAGAATACTCTTAACTGCGTTTTTGGCGAGCAACTAATTAGCAACTAAATATGCCGCGTCTATTTTCCACCTACGAGAATTTTCCGATATCGTCCTATTCTGGGGTGGTTGCAGGGATGATCTGGAGTTAAGGGTTGATAATTAAATACTATAAGCAACGCTATTTTACAGCAACTAATTAGCAACATAATATCCAGCAGTTTTAAACATCTGCGTGTGAATTCGAACCATCTACTATTTTTTAGTGAGTAGAGGGGTAGTATCTGAGGTTAGGGGATGTTTGCAGGATACTCTTATCTGCTTTTTTGGCGAGCAACTAATTAGCAACAGAACATCCAGCAGTTTTAAACATCTGCGTGCGAATTCCAACCATCTACTGTTTCTAAGTGAGTAGAGGGGTTGGATCTAAGGTTAGGGGATGATTGTAGAATACTCTTAACTGCGTTTTTGGCGAGCAACTAATTAGTAACAAAATATCCAGCAGTTTTAAACATCTGCGTGCAAATTCGAACTGTCTACTATTTTTAAGTGAGTAGAGGGGATGGATCTGAGGTAAGGGGATGATTGTAGAATACTCTTAACTGCGTTTTTGGCGAGCAACTAATTAGTAACAAAATATCCAGCAGTTTTAAACATCTGCGTGCAAATTCGAACCGTCTACTATTTTTAAGTGAGTAGAGGGGATGGATCTGAGGTTAGGGGATGATTGTAGAATACTCTTAACTGCGTTTTTGGCGAGCAACTAATTAGCAACTAAATATGCCGCGTCTATTTTCCACCTACGAGAATTTTCCGATATCGTCCTATTCTGGGGTGGTTGCAGGGATGATCTGGAGTTAAGGGTTGATAATTAAATACTATAAGCAACGCTATTTTGCAGCAACTAATTAGCAACATAATATCCAGCAGTTTTAAACATCTGCGTGTGAATTCGAACCATCTACTATTTTTTAGTGAGTAGAGGGGTAGTATCTGAGGTTAGGGGATGTTTGTAGGATACTCTTATCTGCGTTTTTGGCGAGCAACTAATTAGCAACAGAACATCCAGCAGTTTTAAACATCTGCGTGCAAATTCGAACTGTCTACTATTTTTAAGTGAGTAGAGGGGATGGATCTGAGGTTAGGGGATGATTGTAGAATACTCTTAACTGCGTTTTTGGCGAGCAACTAATTAGTAACAAAATATCCAGCAGTTTTAAACATCTGCGTGCAAATTCGAACCGTCTACTATTTTTAAGTGAGTAGAGGGGATGGATCTGAGGTTAGGGGATGATTGTAGAATACTCTTAACTGCGTTTTTGGCGAGCAACTAATTAGTAACAAAATATCCAGCAGTTTTAAACATCTGCGTGCAAATTCGAACTGTCTACTATTTTTAAGTGAGTAGAGGGGATGGATCTGAGGTAAGGGGATGATTGTAGAATACTCTTAACTGCGTTTTTGGCGAGCAACTAATTAGTAACAAAATATCCAGCAGTTTTAAACATCTGCGTGCAAATTCGAACTGTCTACTATTTTCAAGTGAGTAGAGGGGATGGATCTGAGGTTAGGGGATGATTGTAGAATACTCTTAACTGCGTTTTTGGCGAGCAACTAATTAGCAACTAAATATGCCGCGTCTATTTTCCACCTACGAGAATTTTCCGATATCGTCCTATTCTGGGGTGGTTGCAGGGATGATCTGGAGTTAAGGGTTGATAATTAAATACTATAAGCAACGCTTTTTTGCAGCAACTAATTAGCAACATAATATCCAGCAGTTTTAAACATCTGCG